AGTGGCAAAATCATAAAATACATAGATATATCTAACGAATATAAAAAAGACATGAATTTATGCTAAATTGTGTAACATTAGCGCAATAAATTTACTTTTGTACATAATGATATTACTATATAATAAACAAATACTTTGATATAATAATTTTCTGTAAAGTGACCTTTTTTAATTGATTCTAATATTATTAAAGTAAACTATGTTACATCCTTTATGTAACATTTTTACATATATATATATGTACATAAATCCATAAAACAATTTTTATGTACACACACATACACATATACTAAAAATGAATGGTCCTTTTGAAAAGTTATGTTGTAATAACAGATTGTTGAATGTAGATAATTACAATCATTATCTTTTTATGACACCATTTACCTCTTTCAACATAGCAACCAATCAATTACCTTATCATTAATCAAAGCAAATATACTAGCATAACAAATTGTAAACCATAGTACATATCAAAAAATTATTGTATCGTTTTAATAGCCTACATATTTTATGCAGCAAATATAAAAATTAATATTAACATAGTCTTTATGCAACTTAAAGTATATGTTATCATATTACAAAAAAAGAACATAACCAAAATCTCACCTTGTATGCCATTGGCCAATGTATTAAATACAAATCTAAGTAATCTACCCTCAAGTTCTTTAGGGATTTTCTTAAAGCACCTTCGACAAGATCAGGTCTATGGAATGTGTTCCATAGTTTGCTGGTAATCCACAAGTCTTCCCTTTTCACCTTTCCTTCTTCAATTTTTGCAGAAATAGCTTCACCAACTTCATTTTCATTGCCATATATAAAGGCACAATCTATGTGACGGTAGCCTATGTCAATCGCATCTTTTACAGCTTGAGTTACTTGACCTGGTTGAGACTATACAATGTATTATTCATCTAACACTCAAATTATTATAATGCCTTGAACTCACCTTCCAGGTACCTAATCCAAAGATTGGAATTTGAAGACCGTTATTTAACACAACCCCAGGAAGTTTAACCATATTTAATAGTATCTGTCTGACGGTGCGACGATAAATGAAAATAATCAATTAAAACACTACTTAAAATGATTCCAAAATGACTAAATAAATAAAAGATAACCTGTCACATGAAGTTTTTACTTCATAAGTCCTATTGATAAGGCAATTAAGTAAATACTATTGTAAAATATGATATTTATTTTTTTCTTTCTTTGTCAGTTCTGTTTCTCTATTTTTTGGATACTATTTTTCATATGCTTCAGTTTCTAATGATTCTCACCAGACATTAACTAAAATCACTGCATTATTATTATTATTATTATAAATATTGATTACAATTGATTATAAGTCATATCATAAGTAAAAACCATAGATTAAGTAGACATTGATTTATTGCTTGATAATTATATTGACAACTAAATACTTACTATATGTTATTCAGAGATAGGTAACCCAAAACACACTCTTTATATGCATGTGACATAATGTTATGGCGTAATTGGTAATACATAGATTAGTCAACTAATGATATGAAACTTTTTTTCTGTAAAAATGTCGTAATATTTATTAATGGTTTTTGTTATTATCAAAAGAAAGAATAAAATAAAAATATAATATGTTACGAATTGATACAAATAGAAAAATCAAAACTCTACATCGTCAAAAGGAAAATGCGGAATTCCTTTTAATTCGTCTGCCGGTACCGATCTAGCATTACAATTGAAAGAATCTATTTCCTTTATCTCAGCTAGTGTCAGTTTAAAATCAAATATTTCAATATTCAATTTAATTCTTTCTTTATTTGACGACTTAGGGATCGGCACAGTTCCGATATCGATCAGGTAACGCAAAATTATTTGCGAACTTGTTTTATTATACTTTTTAGCAATTGCTACTAATTTTGCATCGTTAAAATCGATTGAAGGATCGCCTGGTTTAACCCACGGCCTGGCAGGCGATGCAAAAGGGCTATATGCCACTACAACAATATTTCGGTCATTACAGAATTTGATGAGTTTCTTTTGATTTAACAGGGGTGTTACTTCTACCTGCAGACAAAAACTATTTTATATACATCATTTAGTGAATTTTTTATACCTATGATTAGTTTATTTCTTTTTTCATTTACCTACCTGGTTTACAACCGGTTTTATAGTGGCATGTTGTAAAACCCTATCGATTTGTTTAGAATTGAAATTTGAAAGTCCTATACCTTTTGTAAGACCCAATTTAACACATTCTTCCATCCCTTTCCACGTATTAATGTAATCATAATCGAATCCTGATGCATTATTGAATGGATTGATTGGATTAAATTCTCCAACAATTTTCTGAGCACATGGCCAATGAATTAAATATAAATCGAGATAATCCAATCCAAAATTTTCCAAAGATTTCATGCAAGTCGGTACGACTTTCTCCATTTCATGAAATGTATTCCACAGTTTAGTTGTAATGAACAACTCATCGCGCCTAACTGTTTTGTCAGCTATTTTTTCTCTTATTGCTTTGCCAATTTCTTTTTCATTTCCATAAACCATAGCACAATCGAAATGTCGATATCCTATATTGATTGCATATTTAATAGCCTGTTCTACTTCTCCTGGAGCTGACTGACAAAATGAAATGCATAATCATATAAATCAGAGATTTTAAATTTTATTTTAATTTATGCACTTCTTTACATTTCTAAAAGTCCGCATTTGTATATGGAAAGTAAGAACTNAAATGTGGGTAGATATTTATGAGACATTCACTCGTGACGCATGTCAATTATTAGGCATAAGTGTTGAAAGTCCACTTGCTATATGCATTAATGCAGGATGTACTGCTGTCCCAGCTTTACTGAATATAAAACAAGTGATGATGCAACGTCAAGTCAGTGGCATATGGAACGGTAAAGATGAATTACCAGTGAGTTTTAGAAATAATTTTCTATTATAGTGTGTAATATTAACACAGATATTATTAGTTTTGATATGATAAAATATGTCAGATATGCATTACTCAATAGTATTTTCCAATTTTTAATTAATAATTTCGTTGTCGAGTTTGCCAATTATTTTTTTTACCATGACAAAAATATTTGATTTAAAGATAGAAATTGACCTTGGTACCGATAAAAGGTATCATTCAATGTTTGCATGTCCAATATTAAGACAACAATCGACTGAAAATAATCCTCCCATGCGACTAATCTGCGGCCACGTTATATCCCGAGACGCATTAAACAAATTATGCAATGGAAACAAGTAAGAAAACAGTCTTTTTCTTGGATTTATCTATTAAACATGTTTATGTATGATATTTTCAGTAATGTATTTTCTCTAAGTGTAAATAAAAACACTTACCAACCAGGTACCAAGACCCAGCACAGGTAATTTTTGTCCGTTATTAAGAGTAACTGTAGGAGCTGCCATATTTCTGCTGTACTTCTCTATATTCTCTACACGATTTTCATATATCTAATGATTCTCTACTTAAACCTTAAATAAACATACTTAGGTATGTATACATATAATGTGATATCATATTCACGTAAATTTAAAACGACGAGTTCGCAACAATCATTACATTATCTTACATTATTCTAAAATTGAAGGTCATTTATTTTAACAGTTTACTATTGTATTCTTTGAATGACCACTAAAAAAATCCTGACATAAATTAACTACAAATAAAAAATTCAAATACACACACTTTATAAATCTATATTAGGTACGCCTAATTTTGAAATCGTATGTGTATGATGAGAATTCTTTTTCCAGCCTTTAACGACAAATAATTTCGCTCATTCAGCTGTTATTATTTCAATTCAATCGATAAAAATTATGAATGGTAAATTGTTTATAATAGTTTGATAATATTTTTGTGGTATACTGAGTTATTTTATAATGTTCAAATTCAAAATTAATTGTTGTCGTGTAATAAAACGCCTTTAGCACTAATCTCTAATTTATTGAACTAATTACTCGTTAATTAACATCACTATTTTTAATGATTAACTCGTTAATTAGTACATCACCCTCTGAATCTTCCTAATTCGCTTTCTATCGCCTAGAAGTAAGCAATTGATCTAAATGACTAAATTATTATATGCAACCATTATAAGCCTCTTGGCGCTTTTTCCCGTATGATGGGTTGTCTACACGTCACAGTGTTAAGTATCATTATCATCGTAGATAAGAGACATATAATGGTCAATTATCATATATTCTTATCTATGATACTAACATGATATAGTAATATGTCAATTTCGTTAGATTAAAAAAAGGGACGAGCGTGTATTGATGTACACGCGCAACAAATGAAACTGCTTTAGATTATGACGCATGACGCGTAACATTTTCCTTTTGTTTGACAGTCATTTGGCTTGGCTTGGCAACATTGGTACGGCCTAGACGGTTTAGCCAGACGCGCTAACCTGTTGTCCTATTCAATTGTCTATGGCGTTAACTACCAACCGCTATTAACAAAAGCAAATGTCAAAAAAAGAAACGATTGTGGTTGTTATTTATGAAAGGAAAGTAATAATCGATGATGCATAAAAATAAAGAAACAATGGATGCCTGTTTGGCTGTAGAAAAGGAAATTGACAAAGTTTTAACAAAATTTAATGGAATAAACGAACATGCAAGCAGGGTATTGAACGAGTTGGTGTCACAAGTTGAAAGTTTAAAAGAATTCGAAGCAGGTATTTATGGAAAAACTTAGTACAGAATTTCGAGCAGATTTAAATGTAAAATAATAACCCTTTTAGCTCCCGATAATCATATTTTAACACCTTTACAAGTATATCTTATAAAGCAAACAATTACTAAAGTGAAAGACACTGTTTCTCAATTAACTACAAACCACAGAGACTTGCACAGTACAGTATCAAAAGTAGGTAAAGCAATTGATAGAAACTTTATTGCGGATTTCACAGCAACTAGTCGTGGTGATATTTTTAATAGACCAGATAAAATACATTTAATTAATCAGGTTGTTTATCAGCATTTCTGTCGTCAAGGGTTACAGGAGGTTGCAGAAGAACTTTCTAAAGTGAGTTATAAAAAAGTCTATTATTAGTAAAATTGCAAGATAAATACATATTTTAGGAAGCTGCAATAAAAGCTGAGGTTCAAAACAAAGAACCATTCACTGAACTAAATCACATACTAGACTGCCTTAAAAATAAAGATTTAGATCTTGCATTGGCATGGGCAACAGTTCATCATAATGAACTGGAAGCACATAGTTCATCCTTAGAATTTAAATTACATCGATTGAAGTTTATTGCATTACTAAAAAAAGATCCTCCACATCAAACAAAGGCTATTGCATATGCCAGAATGCACTTTGGACAGTTTGTTTATAGACATGAGAAAGGTGAATGCTGTAATCCCTAAATACGTGCAATTTTATGTATTAAAATCTTTGTAGACATTCAAATGTTGATGGGTATGTTGCTATTTGTTCCAAATGGTTATGACAACACACGTTATAGTTGTATGTTTGACAACGAAATGTGGGTAGATATTTATGAGACATTCACTCGTGACGCATGTCAATTATTAGGCATAAGTGTTGAAAGTCCACTTGCTATATGCATTAATGCAGGATGTACTGCTGTCCCAGCTTTACTGAATATAAAACAAGTGATGATGCAACGTCAAGTCAGTGGCATATGGAACGGTAAAGATGAATTACCAGTGAGTTTTAGAAATAATTTTCTATTATAGTGTGTAATATTAACACAGATATTATTAGTTTTGATATGATAAAATATGTCAGATATGCATTACTCAATAGTATTTTCCAATTTTTAATTAATAATTTCGTTGTCGAGTTTGCCAATTATTTTTTTTACCATGACAAAAATATTTGATTTAAAGATAGAAATTGACCTTGGTACCGATAAAAGGTATCATTCAATGTTTGCATGTCCAATATTAAGACAACAATCGACTGAAAATAATCCTCCCATGCGACTAATCTGCGGCCACGTTATATCCCGAGACGCATTAAACAAATTATGCAATGGAAACAAGTAAGAAAACAGTCTTTTTCTTGGATTTATCTATTAAACATGTTTATGTATTTTAGAATGAAGTGCCCATATTGCCCCTTGGAGCAAAGTCCGAACGACGCTAGGCTGATATTCTTTTAAAAATTGTCTAGATTTATTATATTTTAAGCAATTGTAATATTTAATGTAATATAAGCCTTGTTAATGACGTTAGTGTGGTAATGGTTTTTGAATGTATTATGGTATGCTGCAAATCAAAAACTTTCAACATATTTTTGTAAAAAAACGTACTTTGAAACCGTTTCAGATTGCAACACTTCAAACATTTTAAATAGTTTCTATAGAATATATTATTCATGTAAGTTTTTATAAGTGTAAATAAATGAAATATTCGCCTAATCGTTTCTTATTTTGTTTAATAACTAAATACTAGCAACCAGTTAAAAAAAATACTTACTAGCAACCAGTTAAAAAAAATACTTCAAGTATGATTTTAGAAGGCTTAAAATTTTAATACATAACATAACACAGGTAGTGCTTTGCCGGGTACTGGAAATCACGTATTAGCCTTGCCGGACACGACTACTCGACATCACAAAAAACAATGCTATTTGGATAAAATTATTCGATTAAGCTAACGTGCTTATCACGTTGAGATTGGCTAAGCTGGGATTCGTTTTCAGCAAGTAGATATCCACACAAGTGGACCTTGTTGGAGCATACGTAATACTAAAATGTAGCATCATGCTACAGATGGCATTTACTGCGCCATTTGTAGTATTTTCTAAATGCTATTTGGGTTTTAAATGTTTAGTTATTATCAATGAAATTGTATATTAAAATGAATATACTTTTCATTAAAAAATACTACGTTTAAAATTTAATACACTTAAATTTCGTATAATTTATAAATATATTTTTATAAATACCTATTCAAAATTTATTCATTTTGAAATTTTAAGTAAAATTATTTTACTATAGTTTAATTATAAGAAACGTAAGATATATTAATCCTTTCTTTTATTGAATCAACCAAAATATCAGGTAAATAATGACTTTAATACAATATAATTGCAATTTTAATTAATCAACTTATTCAAATAAAGCTTTAGTGCTATATGGAAATAATTTACAAAATAAGACGTAATAGAAACCTGATTTCTATTAATTACTGCGTCATTTTTAATTACATACCTCGCTTACGTGTTGATTGATCCTACTCTCGTTTCGATCTTCTTGCTCTTCCTCAAATATATCATTTTCATTATTCGAACTATTCTGTTGTTTTCTGTGAACATTCGACGGCTCCACACTTGCGGCAGCTTCTTGAAAAATGGAATCAATTGTAACATTTTGTAAAGATTGAGCTGTTCGTGCGGTTACACTGTTTAATGTCTGTTTTTTCTTAAGTAAAATGGTATTCCCTTTCATTTCAATTTTGCCTTCTTTCGCCATCGCTTGAATTTCTGCTTTACTCATAATTAACTTCTGAACCCTGACCAACTTGTTGCCTATTTTCATGTCCACGTAGTTCTTGTTTGGTGGAAATGCATTTGCCGCATCTTTAGACAAACCCATGTTATCTAATAAAGGTAGTTGTGAGATTTGATCTAACTGATGAGTGGGAAGTTGTATTGATGCAGACTGAGCCGTTGGTGTAACGAAAGTAGTTAAAGCCACTGGCTTTGGTTTTTCTGGAGCGTTCTTGCGGGTATATACTTTAGTTCCTTCTGTGCGAACAACTGGTTTAATGGTTTCATTGACGGTGGTAGGAGGCGGAGGTTTATATAGTAGATCGTCTTCGTCTTCTTCTTCATCGTTATTTGGTATGTCTTGTGAAGCATCTTCATCCATATCTGATCCAAGTTCATCTTTTAAGAAGTCCGCAAAATTTTTAATTTTCCGTTCTCTTTTAGATCTTCTTATAATCTATTTAAAAATAAAAAATTCGAATATTTGAAAATATAACCAACTGAATATAAAAAAAAACTACAAACTTCTGGATTATCCGCACTGGTGATGGAGAACTCTGCAATATCTTCTTCGCCAGAATACGCTTCGTCTCCGTCATCCCCCATGCCACTATAGTGATCGGTTCGTTGCTGCTGTTGTTGCATTGCTTCTTCTGTCACTTCCCTCTCGATCTGTTCTTCGTATTCCATTTCTGCATGCTTAAGTTCGTGCTCCTCAAGCTGATCTTGCGTATCAAAGGAATAGTCGCACTTGTCACAAGGATATGGAAGACCTGCCAAATGTGTCGTGATGTGTTCTTTAACCATTTTAGCGTTCTCAAATTCAGTGTTGCAGATGACACACTTCAAGTTAACCATCGAATGGATCGCACTGTGATTGATTAGCGAATCTTTACGTCGAAACGACATACTACACATGTCGCATTTATGTTGTCCGATTGGTTGGGCGTTTGGTGATTTTGCTGCATAATGGCTTCGCATATGTCGCGTAAGATGGTGACTGAGGAGAAAAGTACGACCGCACAGCTTACACGGATACGGTCGTAAACCTTTTTAAGAAGACAATTAGATTAAATTTACTATACATGTATACAATATTTTCTTACCTGCATGGGAAGTGATATGTCTGGTTAATTTAAGTGGAGAAGTAAAGCTTGCTTCACAATAATTACATTTGTGTGGTTTCTGATCAGCGTGACTTAATTCATGTCTCTCAAGTCCTTGTTTGAATACGAAACTTTTGTTACATAATCGACAAGAGAATGGTCTTCTCTTTTTATGCCTTTCCATGTGAGCATCCAAATCTTCACTGGTCAAAAATGTACGGTCACATTCAGTGCATAGGTACTTCGGAGCTTGAACATGTATCTTCTCATGTCGATGAAGAAGTGATTCGCGCGAAAACTGCTTTCTACATACGACACACGTGAAAGGTTTACTATTCAGATGAGTTTGAAAATGTTTGCCAAGATCATATTTTGTAAAAAATTTACGTCCACACTCGTCACATTCAAAGTTGCGTTGACGATCGTGGTTCTTCATGTGCAGATCTAATAGCTGTTGTAGTGGAAACGAACGTTCACAATGTGGACATGAAAAAACATCTGTACGCACCTGAAAAATAGGTACATAATTTAATTTTATGTGTGTGTATATATATAAATAAACTATTTATTAAATCATAAACAGGTATAATGTATAACATAAAATAAGGTTTATACCTAAACATAATAATAATTCTAACAAACGAATAAATAAATAAATATAATGTATTCAAACACTCACATGAGACACTTTTGTTATGGAATTTTCATTTCCCTCTTCTTGAGTTTCACTTTCTTCTGAGCTAATTTGGTTTTTAGAATTTTGATCGAAATCCAACATTTCCGTTTCATTTTCTCCCTTAGTGGATATTTGAAGTTCACTTTGGGATTCTTTATTGTCTGTTGTTACAGAATATACCACAGGAGAATTGCCATCATTTGTCTTTGACTTTTTTGTATGACCACTTTCATTTTGGATAGGAAGCAAATTTCTCTTTTTTGACTCCTTTACAATAAAAATAGTTTAAAAACTACAATATAGCACCTTTTGAATTAATCTAGAAAAAATGCAAATAAAAATCAAAGCAGCAGCAACAACAATAAAAAACCAACGTAGCTAACCAAAAGAAACAAGGAAATAATAATGTAAATTAAACTTATACTAATTAAAATAATTTACACAAAAATGTATTTTTGTATCAAGTTGACGGTACTTGATTGATTTTTAGGAGTGTAAGACATCAGCATGTATGTTGGGCTGCATATTTCAGATTTAAAATTATGATCATTGTAAGTTAACATATGCATAATTTCTTTTGCAAAAATGTAAGTTTTAATTAATATACCTTAAACCTAAACTGTATAAAAAGACAAAATTGGTAAATATTTTGTACCAATACCAATAATAAAGACCATAGATTATTACCTATAGGTACTGCACAAAAAAGATGAAAAGTTCACGAAGAATAACTGTATAGTTTATACAAAAAAAAACATATGTGCCCCTTAACTTTGGTTAACAGTATAAAAATATAATAAATACTGCCATCCTTTTTACCAATCACAAATTAATGTTTTTGCTGCTTTAATAATTCTATTTATTTTATGCTTACATTTGATAGTTCAGCTGGTTTTACCAAATTTCCAGTTGCTAAAAATAATTTCAACGCATCGTCAGCCTTTTTGCAAGTCGTTTTAAATCTGTACGCTTGTTGTGTTTGATATCTGCAAGCTCTACATATGAGCTGCGGCATTCCATCATTTGGAAATACCTGCAACCAACAATAAAGCATAAACCAGTAAATAATATCGAAAAATTATCAACTAAACACTTAATTACTACAACACAAAGAAAACTACTTGACGATCATTACGGCATCCTGTAATCGGGTGAATAAAAATGTATACATTTCTATTTACAAATAGTTACAAACCTCAATAGAAACGCAAGCCATCATTTGAAGAGGTAGTGGAACAACTTGCTGAGGATCTTTCTCATATATATTCGTGAATGGGCCATTTTCGTCCAAACAAAATCTGCATATTTTTAAATCCCGTAATACAGTCCCGCGATCTTCCATTTCTCTAGAATTTGTTAAATGAGCAACGCGAAAATCTACACCAAATGAACAAAAATGGTGGGCAGCTTAGCTTGACGCTTGACGTTCACAAGAAAAGGACGTGAATACAGTGGTGAGGTGAAGAGGAAACTAATCAATATATGAAATATGCTGCAAGTAGATGACGCTACATTTCACAAATTATTTTTTTAAGGTATCTAAGCAAACCTTAAACTAACTAACATGAAATATGACAAAAAAATTATAATTTAAAATTTTTAAGTAACACTTCTTGAATTAGTTTCAATTATTTCATTTCGTTTTTATGCATTACAAAATAAAAGTAGTTTTCATCATTTTCATTTCAAGACAATATAACGCGATATCTTTCGTTAAAACATGATACTAAATCTTCTCAATACAGGAAACGGTATTTTTACAGTTTATATGTATTATTTTGTTTCCTGCTTATTTATTCTTGTTTGTTATTATTAACTTGATACTGATTATTTATCCTTTAAATTTATTATAATTTTTCTCTGTACCTTCCTAGATCATTTTGTTTTAATTTTTCCTAAGATCTAAGGGGTATTTATACGAGTTACAGTTACCTATATTCGTCAAATTAATAAACAAATATACTTAATTATAATTTGTGCGTGTATGCAACTTAACATACAGTTGTACATATAGATTATCAACGCAGACGGGTTCATATAATAATGACAAAAAGTCTATAGAAATTAAACGTTATTTATATAAATATGATATAAATTAAACATGAATTTTAGAGCAGCGAGTGTTGTAGATATTTTACGTTGTTCACAGAAAGATAATTTTATTATAGGAAAGTTACAAAGTAGCATTTTTGAAATACTGAAGATACTTGGAAATGAATATCGTCACCAAAATACAATTAAAAATCTGTCTTCTGCTTTATACTTCCTTCTTACGTCTTGCTCTAATTTGCAATCGTTTGGCGAAGAATATAGTGGAATAATAAGATTTGATAGTCGTACAAAAACTTTACCTTCTCAATTTGTAAGTCCCTAAAAATATTAACATTTTTATGTTTATTCCGTTTTTGCAGACCCACTTACTTTGGCTTGTGCTTTACATCACAGGTGATAACATATTTAACAATATACTACATAAAAATAAACATTTTATAACAAAATCAAAATCATTAACAGAAGAAGCTAAAAATGCGTTATTGTGTTGTTTGTACTTTTTGAAGACAAATAAGCATATGTTTGTAAGATTACATACTGCCTTATTTTATATTAAGGGTGACTACTATTACATTTCAAATTTTCTATTTGGAATACGATATGTATGTGTGTTTTACTAATTATATTAACCAGTGCTTAGTTATTTGAAATTTTAGATCCTGTTGAGACAATGGTATCAAGATAATAATTATTCCCAAAATTTTAAATTTCTTGGAAAGGTTTTATTGTTATACTTGTGTTTCTACTTGGTTCATCAAATAAAATTCAGTAAAACTAGCCAAGAGCAAATAGATCATCAATTAAAGGAGTTTAAAACTGGTAAAAAAGTCGTTAACAGCTGCCTAATTTGTTCTAAAGATAGAAAATACGTTATTACTACCTTTTGTGGTCATTTATTTTGTTGGGATTGTATTCAAAGCTGTTTATTGTATCAGGAGGTTTGTCCTGTGTGCCGGGAATCTGTTAACCCTAATAAAACCATTATGTTACAGAATTACAGTTAAGTGTAGTAAACATTTGTGTTCCTGAGTAATTTGTAATCATATATAAACTTTAGGAACATTATTTTTTGTATTAAATTTGGAAGTAAATAGTCAAATGATATAATACAATTTGTTTTTTTAGTTCTAAAAATCGGAATTGAAATGGTGTTTTTAACCATTTATTTATTTTTAACCCTCTGTTCACTGCGACCACGGAAAGACATTACATTTTATAGGGTTATGGCGGATTTTTAAATAATTAAACGTAACTAACCCTACTTTATGAAACACATAAGGAAGCTTTTAGTAGCGGTTAACATTTAATAATATTCAAACATTATTGTGAAATTAATTCAATTTCCACCTACTATAAATTACCTCAAATTCCTGAGGAAAAATTGTTGCTGCTGTCAATTTTGCACGGTTTATTTCCATTCATTGTTTCCATTTTATCACCCTTTGTGTATCTATTATCTATGGTTTATTTCATAGATCATAGATAGAACTATGATTGAAGTACTTAATATATTACTTACTTTCAGGATAGGTAAAAGTACTTTTCACAAAAATTTTAAAATATTACAAGTTGTGAAACTACTCACTATTGCTCAATAACGCCACAACTACTGGGGAATTCCTCCGATAATCGAAACCATATGTCGCCTAGTATGTCGGTAATGTCGATTTTGGTAATTTAAAAAATTTAAAAACTTACGTGGGTAAACTTAGGTGTCGCTAGCGCTCGACATTTCATACCCTGTTTAGGGTTATGTACTTATTTTTGTTCTTCCATGTTAATTTGAGTTTGTACTATTTTACACATTAAAATATGAAATATTTGGATATAATTCGAAACACTTCGATTTTAAACGTATCTCAAATAATATTTAAAATTCTACCGCAATATTCTACAAAAATTGACTTGGAAAAATTAGAATCAGAAAGTGCAACATCTGTAGATGGTAGGAGATTCTACTATAATATGTTGTTAAATACTAATTATTAATTTGTTGATAAATTATTTACCTATTTACTTATATAATTACAATATTTTACTGCTAGTTCTTGATGAAGAAGCAAAGAAGAAAGAAGCCAATTTAGAACTTAAAAGAAATAAATCCCGTTTAAACCTACAACATCGCAATATTCTTTTAAATCAAAAACCTTATAATGAAAGCATATTTTGGACACATGATACGGTAAAGTATGCAAGAAAAGTATATGGAAAGTATGGCGAGAATAGCAGAATTGATCCATCTTTTTGTTGGCCTACTAAACAAGAACTACAAGATACATTGGAATATCAAAGAGTTGCTTATCCTTTTACTGTTCTTGAAATGATGGAAAAAGCACAAATAAGAAAAAAAGAAGAAAATGAACGACTTTTAAATAAGCAGAAAGAAATTACGGATAAAATGGCTAAATTGGATCAGTGGAAGAAAGACCTACATGATAAAATTAAGAAGAAAGAAGCTGAAGAACTTGCTGCAAGAGTGTGTATATACTTTAAAATTTTTATTATCATTATTTTGTTATGCATAAGTATTTATACCTGTAGGTGCAGAAAGAAAGATTGATAGAAGAAGTAAGAAGACACTTTGGATATGCAGTAGATCCTAGAGATGAAAAGTTTAAGGAAATGGTTGAAAAAAAAGAAAAGGAACAAAAGAAATTAATGAAAGAAGCAAGACGAAAGGTGAAAGAAGAAAAAATGCTTGCAAAATTACTTAGCAAGAAATCTGAAGAAAAGACAGAGACAAATAATGAAGAAAAACAATTGAATTAAGCTGAGCGAAAATACTTTGTATTTGTACTTTCATTTTAGAAAATATTACTTTATATGTTACATTTAAAATACTTTGTTTNGAAAAAATGCTTGCAAAATTACTTAGCAAGAAATCTGAAGAAAAGACAGAGACAAATAATGAAGAAAAACAATTGAATTAAGCTGAGCGAAAATACTTTGTATTTGTACTTTCATTTTAGAAAATATTACTTTATATGTTACATTTAAAATACTTTGTTTATACTGAAAGTGTTACATAAATCAATATCGAATATCCCACTATAATAGAATGAAAAATATTTTTCAGTTAAAACAATGTAACTATAAAAATCAGATATGTTTGAAAAGAAATTCCAAAATTTTCTATTACAATAACCAGGAGGGATTAACTGGAAGTACTTTGTATTCTTTTGAATAAGTTACGAAATTGTTAATACAAGGTTTGTAATTTAAAATTGGGAAAATATAGAAGTTTACTGCAGGTTTGGTAAAAAAAAGTACAATTCGCAATTACATAAATTTCATTAAATATCTGATTAAACCTGTTTGGCTCTATATATATCTCCAGTTGTAAAATTCCTGAGACGAGTTTTACAGAAAAACAGAATCAATAACCAAACAAAGGTAATCAAAAAATAATTTAAAACTGATTGCAGATGCGCGGTTTAGGTAAATCACCAAAAACAGCATCTCCATGAACGCTGTTAGCCAGCGCTTTAATACTAGCTGCAATATCTGATGGATTTGCGTCGTCTGAATTTTGCTAAAATATGAAATTGATAAAACTTTCAGAAAATTAACAATTACAAAAGCAGATGCATTTACTTAATTGAAACTTTCTTTTTGTATTTAAAGAATAAGCAGAAAATAGAATTCCAAAAATTTCCAGAATAAAAATGCTATTAATAAATAGTAACTAAATACCAGTATGTTATTAAAATTACCATTATGCCTTCCTTTTTTCCTACTGATACTCGGTTTCCAACACCAGTTAAAAAAACAGGTATATCAATAGGTAACGATTTTGCCAGATTTAAAGGGCTTGATTTGATTTTATATCTCTCCTCTTTGTTGGTATCTATGGAAAAATCATAAAAACAATGTACAAATACTATTTAAACTTGCCAATTATTTTTAAGACTTATTTGCATACCTTCGTTATCACTACTGTCGCAGTTATCAAGGCTTTGATTTTTTATTTCATCAACTCCATCTAAATGAAACAGGCCCTCACTATCAGTGGAATTAATTTTTTGTTGATCATTGTTTTTGTTTACTGTTAACTGTGGATTACATTTTAATTTTTTCTGAAAAAAGGATTTTGAAGAATTTAATGACAAAAATTAGTTGCGGTTTTAAAATTTCTAAGATTTTTACAACCAATAGATTTATAATTTATATAAACGTTGTTTACATTAATTGTACAACAAAAACTTACCGTTGCTTTAAGATTTGTATTGATAGATGAAGCGTCGTAAAAAAATGGAATTTTTTCTTTTTTATATTCAGTCTGTTGCTGTAAATATGGTGCCGGGAATCTG